CTATGCACAAGGAGATAATGGCCAATAAGCTGGAAGGAGGTCTGGCCCTGCAGGGAGGGCTGGGACATGGAGGTATTGATGCCATGGTGTCCAGAGGTAATCGGATGCGTGATCCCTGCTGCTGTGTGATCCCTGGTGCAAACATGGCATGAGGAGAGAGGTGAGGGGACAGTGGGGAATCCTTAGTTTAAAAAAGAGGAGGTGGAGGAATAGGAAGCTGCCAAGGAAACTGGGAGGCCTAACAGAGGAGGAAGGAATCAGGACAGCCCAGTGTATTAAACAAAGTGCTTAATTGCTCATCAGAGGAATCAATTCTGCTAATTTTAGGAGAAAAGATACACATTTAAAGCTTGCTGGGTGGCTTCCAGAATCTCTGGAAGGGCTGAAAAAACAAGTTTGGAGCTCTGAGAGGAAGAGACCAACAGAAAGCACCACTCCCTTGAGGTACTAGACACGCAGCCTGCATCCTGACACCTTTAGCTCTGGATGCCAGCATTTCCCTACGCACTGTGGCCACTGCTGCTCCAGGAACTCAGTCTGAAATTGGCATTTAGCCAAAGAGAGGTCCTCCTGGTTCTCACTTCCGTGCACCAGTAAACCCCGATTCCAGGTCTGGGGCAGGAGTATCTGATTCGCAGAGGTTAGGTCTCATGACCTCATTCTAGCTGCAAGGGAGGCTGGGAAAAAGACATACCATTTTTAGCTTCTTCTGGGAGGTAGCGTGAGATAGGAGACTCCTGAGTATGTTTGTATTTGGAGGGGGGCAGGGGGAGAGAGAGAGAGAGAGAGAGAGGGAGAAGTGGAGGGATCAGGAGAGGTGGGAATGGAGCACATGACATGGAAGGAACACCTTTTCAGAAGGAAGAGTGAAGTCAAGGAAGCTCTTGGAAGACAGCCTCCCTTGGCTCAGGACAAGGTTATTGACATAGGATGGGATGGCACCCTGAGGGAGTGGTAGTGCCAGACGCTGAGGGTGTAGGACTCTAGCAAGTAGGGAGGGCAGTTCAGCCACACACTCCTGTAGGTGGAGAACCTGAGGAGCTCACCTCTTGAGAGGCTGCCATTCCCTGGCTAGCCAGATTTAGTCACTAGCAGGTTTTCTTATACTGAATCTGTAGCAAATGTAGATGTAGCAAATATCTCTTATTTTTCTATGATCTTTCAGGAGTCCCGCATCAGACCTTCCTTTCTATTGGCTCCCCAATCCCCCTCATGCAGAGGCCAACCCAGGGCTGCCTCTCACTGAAGCCTCCCTCTGCCAAAGTCAAGGAGGCAGATCCTCCTCTCCTGTCCATGCTGGGACCCTGTGGCCTGGCCCCTGGGGTCCCCTTGGTGCCTGCCCATTTTCCACCCTCTCTATTTCTTCTGTGAGCCATTTCTAAAATTTCCCGCTTGCTTAAGAAACCAGTTCCAAGTCCACAACATTTGCCATAATTATATCTTGTAATCTCTGCTCATTGGTCCTGATTCCACCAGCAGAACAAATAGACACCATCATCCACATTGGCAGTCCTTCAGTACTGTATGAACAGAGGATTTTTTTAGAGGGAAAGTTTACCTCCCCTGATATAGAAATACAATTCTATAGATACTGCTTATGACTGTAGTCGATTTCTTAACAGCTGTACCTTACTTATGGTCAACTACATCCCAGAAGGTTCCTCCCTACACACAAGTGCTGTCAAATTGGATCTTTCTCATCCTGTTCTTTTTATTTAGACACAAAGACAAATATATAGATGACATATGTTGTTTCGTGTGCCTAGTGTTCCTTCTTTTGGGGAACCACTCCTTCCTTGTTCCATGTGGTTCTCATGGGGCTGTCAATATCAGCCTCCCACCCTATCCCCATTTACAGGGATGGGCATGTGACCTGGGCTTGGCCAATCATATCACCTCCTACCCCTGGCAACAGCTAAGCATATGACTGAAAAATCTGTCTCTACAATTGGAATACTACCAAGTTCTCTTTTGTCGGTGTTCCTCAGCTAAGACAACATAAGCTTGGGGCTATAAGTGGCACTTTCTCCAGCTGTGTAGAGGAAGTCCATTTGCAGTGGGAGAAGAAGCGGCCAGCCCCCAGGAGGAAAGCAGAGCTCCAAGACAGAGAGAAAGGGAGTCCCAATGGCGTTGATTGGATCCCTGGGTCCAGCTCTGCCAGAGCCAATAAAGATTCCTTCTGTTTAAGATGGTTGCCTCGGGTTTTTGTCACTTCCAAGTGGATGAGCCCTGACTAATAATAACACTTTAAAAAATTAGAATAAAAGTAATACACTTAATTGTGCAAAATAGGGAAAAGTAAAAGAAACAAACCAATCATTCCTAATCCTAATTTTTAGTTATACAAAAAATGGTATCACCCCGTATATACTTCTCGTGTGTGATTGTAAAACGTGGCCACCCATTCTTCCATCCAGTATGCATGCCCCTTGCAGTGCCAGTTTGCTGCTGCCCCTCTCATGCAGAGGTGGAGTTTATTTCTCTCTCCCTGAATCTGGGCTAGCCTTGTGTGTTATTTGAGTGTTAGATGTCTATGACTTTCAGAGGCCTTCCAGCTTCTTTCATTACCCTCTCGGAAGAGAGGGCCATGTGAAGCCAGGCTAGCCTCCTGAAGGATGAGACCACAGGGAGGAGACCAAGACAGCCCAGCCCACAGCCAGCCCTACTGCCGGCTGTGAGTGAAACCATCTTGAACCTTTGAGCCCAACTCTCCCTCTAGCTGAATGCAACTGTACAAGCGAGTCCAAACCAGCAAAGTGAAACCAGCAGAGGAAGTGCCTGGCTAACTCACAGAATCGTGAGAAATAATAAATCTTAGTTGTTTTAAACCACTAAGTTTTGGGGTGGTTAACTATGCACCAAAGCTAACTGAAACAGATTGCATTCTGCCATTTTCATATAACGGCACATCATTCATTTCCCCTACATTATTAACATATCTATTAAGGTTCTTTTGGTTGCAACCATCAGAAACCAACCCTGGGCAGCTTAAACAAAAAGGAAATGCATTAGAAAGTTCCTAGGAGTACCTCAAGGAACAGAAGGTAAAGTTGAGGGGAGGGGAGAGGTCAGGGCCCCTGTGGGGACGTCAACAGCAGGGGGTCACGGAGTGTCTTTCCAGAAAACTGCCATTAACAATGCAGCGCTAACAACTCCTGGACTACAGACTTCAAGTGCTCAGAACAGTCTGACCCGTCCCAGCTGGGCAGTGTCTACCTCCAGATCATTTAGCTATGATGGGGGCAGGGCAGGACGCGGATGACAGAAGCCGGAACCAGGAACCACATAATTCACTCATGGCCCAGGCCTGCTCTTCAACTGCTAACTATGTTTTGATTTTCCAAAACTTTTCTTTCAAATGTTTTTGTAACTAATGTATCAAGGTTCCTTCTAAAAAGGGAGAAGAATATGTGCAGGCCCACTTTTGAAATTGTAACGACGACCAGGGCAACGTTGTATACTTTCGCACAATACAACTGTCTATCAAGGTTTTAGGTGCAGATGGGTCTCTGAGAGGGTGGGTTGGCCGTCTGAATGAAGTTTAAAAAATGTTTGGGGTGTAGACAAGAAAGGAGAGGCACTAAATAGTAAAAACGGGTTAAAGCCAGAGTAACAGGTGTTATGAACAGCGAGAAGGAAGCAAGAGCCAACGTGTGGGCTTGGGGTTGTCTCTGGGAAACACGACCAGCTCAGAGGTGTCGGGAAGGGAACAGACCGTGGCTGGCCTGGGGGGCTACATCGTTCACCGGACGGGGGAGCGACTCCAGACCCTAACTGACGCCGCCTGCAGTGGTCGGTGCCAGAGACAGCGCCTACTGGGACGTGGGTGGCTGGCGCCTCGGACGGGTGGCCCAGGGACCTGGGCCTGGGGCCACCGGACTGGCAGACTCGCTCGCCTCGCGCCCTGCACGAAAGCGGCCGCCCCCATGGAGCGGGGCGGAGGGCCGGGGGCCGGGAGCCGGGAGCGGGCGGGGGAGGCATCTGCTCCCGGGGCTGAGGCGGCGCCTTCGCCTGCCGGCTGCCGCAGGAACGC